AATAGCTTAAGTCGAGAAGGGCTATCTGCCAAAGACCCTTAAGTTCGATTACACTCATCTTCGAGGGAAATTATTTACAGCATAACTCAAGGCTAGAAGGGTTATCTGTCACCAAAGACCTTCGAGTTTGACTACGCTCAGCTCTAAGGTATATCATTTGCAGAATAGCTTAAGTCGAGAAGGGCTATCTGCCAAAGACACTCAAGTTCTATTACACTCAGCTTCGAGGGCACATCATTTATAGCATAACTCAAGGCTAGAAGGGTTATCTGTCACCAAAAGACCTTCAAGTTTGACTACGCTCTGCTCCAAGGCATATCATTTGTAGCACAACTTAAGTCTAGAAGGGTTGTCTGCCAACAAAAGACTTTTGAGTTCTACTACGCTCAGCTCAACGACACATCATTTGTAGCATAGCTTAAGTCGAGAAGGGATATCTGCCAAAGACCCTCAAGTTCGATCACACTCAGCTTCGAGGGCATATCATTTACAGCATAACTCAAGGCTAGAAGGGTTATCTGTCACCAAAGACCTTTGAATTCGACTACGCTCAGCTCCAAGGCATATCATTTGCAGTACAACTTAAGTCTAGAAGGGTTGTCTGCCAACAAAAGACCTTTGAGTTCGAATACGCTCAGCTCAACGACACATCATCTACAGTATAGCTTAAGTCGAGAAGGGCTATCTGCCAAAGGACCTCGAGTTCGATTACACTCAGCGTCGAGGGCACATCATTTACAGCATAACTCAAGGCTAGAAGGGTTATATGTTACCAAAGATCTTCGAGTTCGACTACGCTCAGCTCCAAGGCACATTATTTGCAGTATAGCTTCAGTCGAGAAGGGATATCTGCCAACCGAAGACCTCCGAGTTCAATTACATTCAACTCAGAGGCAAACCAAATTTACAGCATAACTCAAGGCAAGAAGGGCTATCTGTCAATAAAATCGTCGAGTTCGGTTCCATTAAGCTCGATGACACCTCAATCACACTACTGTTCGGCTACAATCGAGGTTTTCAAGTCGAGAAAAAGACATGGGTTAACCGTGCCTTAGTGGCAATAAGTCATTTTTGGTAGCATGGCTTAGTTCGAGAAAAGCTATCTGTCAGCGAAGATCTTTCGAGTTCGGTTTCATTCAGCTCGAGGGCCTATTAACCACATGGTGGAGTCAAATAAATATTTTCCAGTCGAATTTTCAAATCAAGGTCTTTAAACCGAGGAAAAGACCGAGGCAGACTACAACGAGAAGCCACATTTCGATTCAAATTCCGGACTACGGCTTCATGTCATTTCAAGATGGACTCAACTTCGCGACGGAGGAGCCATCCACAACCCAATTTGACAGGGAGTTATCCTTCAACTTCACCGAATGAAAATTTGTGTCTTTTTATCTTTGTCCTATTTTTCGTTCTACGAAAAAGGACTAAGAGGGGCAGCTGTAGATACTAATTTTCGTCTATACTTTTTTATACATACATACATACACATACATACATACATACATACATATATATATATATATATATATATATATATATATATATATATATTATAGTTTTTAAAACATTTTTTTGAAAATTATATAATATATAGTTTTTAAAACATTTTTAAAAATTATATAATATATAGTTTAAAAAACATTTTGAAAACAATTATATATATATAGTTTTAAAAAAACATGTTTGAAAATATATAGTTTTAAAATATTTTTGAAAATATTATATTATATGGTTTTGAAAATCATTTTTAAATCATATATAAAATATAATTTTAAAAAATATTTTATTTATTTATTATTATTTGTTATTTATTTATTTATTTATTATTTTTTATCTCGTTTTAGGTCCATAGATTAGGTCCAGTAATAGTCCAGATTGGGCCTGAACCAGCCTGGTTAGGTTTGGGGTTTGGAAACCCTAATTCATCTCAATCAAGCATCGCAATTCAGTAAACCAGAACCACACAGAATCATCGATATCACAACAGTGTCAACGGCCGGCCGAGATCCCCGGGACTGACCCATCCCGGGGTGTTCGACCTAAACGGTCACGAGAACCCCATATTTTGGAATAGACAAACGGCGGTGAAGACCTATAAATACCGAGAACGGGGGTACCCAAAATCGATACTAGAAACCATCAACGACCAAAACCATCATCGAGAACCAAGATCCAAAACCACACAGTACCCAAAACACCATCAACACAACAACATAGACCAACAGTAAGACCGAGGACATCACCAACACAATAAACAGAACCCACAGTAAATAAGGAGCCAACGTCACCGAAACACAACCATCAACAATATGCAGTAAACATAACCGAGAGACTACAAAAGTATCGAAACCACACACACAAAAATACCAGCAACTAAACACTACAATAAAACCGAGAGAACAAGCAAAACAACGAAACACAAAGACCAAACGACGAGAACAGAAGCGAAAGGTAAAAGGCCGAGACTTTTGGTTTAGATCTACGCTGGTGGGGGCATTTTTTGGGTGTTTGGACTTCGGTTTTGGGTTGAGGATGTTGAGAGAGAGTTTGGGGGTGTTTTTGGCAGTGACGACTAACGGTAGTCGGCCGTGGAACGACGTCTCCCTGGTGGGGACTCTCTAGAGAGAGTTCAGAGATCTCTCTCTCTTAGAGAGAGAGTGCAAGGAAACAAATGAGGGGAAACAGGCGGAGGAAGGCCATATTTTGGCCTTAAATAACGAAATCAAAACGACGCAGTTTTGCCCTGTATACACCTGTGTTTTTGAGACTTTAGGGGAAATGACGTTCTAGTCCCCGGCCGTTTGTAACCTTTTATTTTAATCACTTCATTAAGTTCCAATTTTTTCATTTTGGAGCATGCATATTTCAATATTTATATTTTAGTCACTAACGTGATTTAATTTTTTTATTTTATTAAATTATTTTTTTCTTTCAAAATTTAACTTTTTTATTTATTATTATTTCTTCATTTTCTTCATTTTTTATGTTTTTATTTTTTTATTTTTATCATATTTTTTACTAGCTTCACTTTTTTTTATCTATTTTTTTCTTTTTCTTTTTCCTTTTTATTTAATATTTTTTCTTCTATTTCTATTTTTATTTATTCATCTTCCTTTTTTTGTTTAGTTTTTTTTTTTTATTTACTATTTGTTATCTAACATTTTTTATTTTTTTAGAAGAACTCAATCGATTAAAGGTAAGTAATTCAAATCGAACGTTTTAAATTTTAATTTAAATTTTAACTTTACGCAACTAAGACAACCGACAAATTAATTGGTACCGAAAGGGAGGTTCAAGGGTGCTAATCCTTCTTGACCGTAACCGACTCTCAAACTCAACACGTTTCTGGTAAAACGCATATCAGGTAAGATGGTGTCGCCCACCTAAATTCGTTTTTAAAATGGTCGGTGGCGACTCTAACCACATTAATTCAAGTCGAAGCCCAATTCTGGGGTCCAACCGAAAGACGACTTCGACAATTTTATATTTAATATTTAAAAAAATATGAAACTAAAATCTTTTGGAGAATAACCAAAATTTTTGTAACCCCTCTTATATATTCACGAAAATTTAAAGTTTATAGCAGTCATATTTTTAGATTCTTAACTTTCTTTTATAGTTTCAAATTCCTACCAATTTATTCGAGGGCAAAAATAAACCCTATGAAGAAACTTATAGTGAATTTTTTATTTACATAATATTTTTTAAATATTAGCTCTAATCAAAATTTATCTTCATAAAAACAGAGATTGATTAGAAGGAGGCGGGTGGGGTAGTTGCCCTCTTAAAATTTCAAATTCTTATATATTTTAGTTATTTTTTTATTTTTCATCGAAAATATATTTTTCTCCCTAAAATAATATAAGTTTTTCCCTTCATAAAATTTATAAATTTACCCTAACATAAAATTATGCGTTCATCCCTAATTGAGATTATATTTAGGTTTAAGGGTCACCTTTGTCTATGTAGTAGCTCAATTTATTATTTTCGTCTATATCATATTTTCACATCAATTTAGCCCTCAAATTTTTAATTGCATCACTTTATACCCTTCTACTAACTTAAAACCCTAAACTATAAATTCTAAGTTAGTGTTTATGGTTTAAGGTAATATGATTATGGTTTAGTGTTTATAATTTAGGGATTTAAATTAGGGATAGAGTATAAAATGATACAATTGAGTAACTTCGAGGGTTAAATTGATGTAAAAATACGATAGAGGTGAAAATGATAAATTGTGTCTACTATAGGGACAAAAGTTACTCTTTTATCTTATATTTATAGTAAAACATAAACGTATATATAATCAAAGGATTAAAAAGAAGAAAAATATTAAATAATGTTTCAATTATAAATCCTATTAATTCAATTATTATAAAGTTTATTGATTTTATATTATATAAATAGATCATATCTTTATTATTAATTTATCACTAAAATGATATTTGTACTTCATATGTTCCATGACTATTGAGAAAAAGGAAAAAAATTCCATTATAATCTTAAAAATTAAACTTTTATATCTCTGTTAATACTAAAGCTGTATAAAACTTCTTTTTATATCTTTATACCTGAAAATTTTGAAAAAAATAATAACATTTCTTAGGTTTAATACAATCTTAAGCTTAGACACAATTAGGTTAATACCAGAAAAAGAGTTTGTTGTTGTCTTATCTCGTCATTATACTAGTTGGTTCCTTTCCAACCAGAAAAAACATAATATGTGTGTAGCTAAGCTTAAATTACATGCCGACATGAAATATCAGCAGTTATACACAATACAAATTATACTAATAGAAAAAACAAAGGGTTTAACTGTCTTAACTGAGAGAAGGCATAATACGAACAACTGATTTTGTAAACTCGTCAGCTCTTGGTTACTAGTATTTGTTATACCGAATTTGCCAAAACGAAGAGAGGAGATGGAGAGAAAGAGAGATCTTTTAAAAAAAGAAAAAAAAGAAGGGAAAAATATTTCATAAAATAATTGAAAAACCTACCTTGAGATATCGGTAACCGGGATGTGGAAAGCTTCAGACCATGATAATTGGCTTAGCGAAGTAGCAGTTGGAGTGCCCCAACGGTAACTGCCAGCGGAGAAATTAAGGAACTTGTCTTCTCTGCACTTGTTTTGGAAAGGTTGGTTGAACACTCTCACCTGCTCCTCTCTCAACTTCTCCAATAACTCCATCGAGATCCCATGGTTTATGACTTGGAAAAAGCCCCATTCATGTGCTGCCCTAATAATCTCTTCTTTGCACTTTTCTTTCTCCGCCTCGTTCTGGCTTAAACGGCTGAGATCAATCGATGGAAGGTCGCGTTCCTCCACCGTGACATGGGGGCGGTCGTTGTTTGATTTGGTGTTGGCGAAGAGGGGCTTGTAGGTCTCGTGAAGTGGGGGGTCTGGATCCATGTGGAGAGGAGACAAGATTTTCGTTGTTTGGGTTCGATGAAAACTTTAAAAATGGGGTTTCCTTTCCTTTTTCCTCTCACTTTGGACTTTGGAGACTAAGTTCCATTGCATGTCTTTTTGTCTACACATTTTTCTCTTTTTTACTATTAAAACTTTTTTTAAATAATTATTACACTTTTTGTCTCACTCTCTTCCTTCAACCCTTCAAAATGTATATCCCAATCCAATATCACATTGAGATAATAGGCTTTGAAAGTTAGCTCACACCTTTTTGCTATTGAAAAAACATTTTATTTATAATCAATACAATTTTTAAATTTTAAGAAACAAATTAGCAATTCACATATTCTTGAAAGATATGTCGAAAATATCAGTAAAATTAGATTTTGAGCGAACCAGAAAAAAGGGTGGGTGATTTTTTTTTTGACAAATGATATATTCGAAGTGAAAAGTTACAAAATTTTAGTTATTTTAAATAGGAAAAACACAAACAACCTTAGTTATGTTACAACGTTATTTAACTTGTGATAATAAATTTAATAATGACTATTACAACCAGCCTGGTCCACGGGACTAGAAAAAAAGATAAGTGGATGCTGGTAAAATGTCGCCTCTCTTAGTTCAGGCCATCTCCACTCCCTACCACCGAATCCAGTCTACTAAATTTATATGGATTCCCGGCGAAAGCAATGCCCTCGCCAACGCTATGGCCAAGCTCCCTTGTAACCCTGACTTCACCACATCTACCTTCATTGATGTTCCTTCTATTCTCCACAATTGAGACTCCGTTGGTCCCCCTTACTCTCGCTTTGTAATAAATAAACTTCGGTCTTTGCCTCCTTTTTTTTCTAAAAAAAGTAGAAAATAATTTGCATATAGATTGATTAATATTGTTATTGATATTAGACTTGATTTTAACTAGTGTTTTAGTTGTTTTGTTTAAAAATGTCATAAATATTAAAAGTTCAATTTTTTTATTTATAATAATGTTTATGTTAGATTTTTGGTGACCCGACTTCTATTTGATATTGTTTAAAAGAAATTATGATGCAACTCATGAATAGAAATTGCATGCCTCTTATTCTTATTCTTATCCCTATCCATGCCCCTTAACCTATTTTACTTATACGTGTTTTCGTCGATAAATAATACTGCCCCTTAACCTATTTGCATTATAATTTTATTAACTTTTATTTATTTAGTAACATTAACTGCTATTAATAATTAAAAATATAATTGACATGATTATTTTAATTTTTGAAATAAATCTGAATATATATTGGATTTTAGCATGTACGAATATCTGAAAATGGAAAGTAAAGAAATAGTAAATGCCGATGAAAGCAGGTGGCCATTGGAATAAATGGACCCATTCAATGTTTATTTCCATTTTCTATGTCGGCTAAGCTATTCCTGGATCATATTCAAAATCATTTATAAACAGGGCTGGTTTTGGGCCTGTGCGGGCTGCCCAACCGCACAGGGCCCAATTTTTGTAAGGACCTCTAAATTTTTTAAGTCTTTCGTATATACATATATTTAGGATGTTTGGCTCAAGAATTTTCAAGTCCAAGGCCCACATTATTTAGAGAATAGTTTACTTTGTATTTCACTTTATTATATGAAGATTTTTTACCACCATTTAACTTTTTCTTATAGTTATAATAAATTTTGAAATATTAGTGAACTTTATATATATAATATTTTAGTTTTAAAATGTCTATTTTACTGTTATGGCATAGGGCCACCAAAATTTACAAGACGCCATGTTTATAAAACAGTCTCCAACAAAACAGCTATGGACTCTTGATTTTACCCCATTTTTATTACCATAAATCAATCAAACTAATCAGCTGTCTGCGTGATATGTCTTTAGGTGTATTTCATTTTATATGCATTTTTATTATTTGAAGTTACGAAACTTAAGAAAGAAATGCCATCACTTTGTTCTTTATACTGGTGCGTTCATGCAGCATTAGAGTTTCATTTCAGGAGCGTGGAGAAGAGGTTTATAATATGTAGCTAAACAAGGCATGTGTGGAAGCACGGATGATCCTGCCATGCAGAGTGTCACATGGATGACAGGAGTGGGAGAGGATAGGAGGATGAGGCTGTGAGTGATCATCTGCTACCCTTCTGGAACCTTACCTGTAGTGTTGCTCACTTTTCTTGTGTCAATACATATATACCTTTTCTATCAAGTGGGGATGTGTATGTATGTGTGTGATATTGTCCAAAATTCAAATTAAGAACGCATGTGCATCATGTTCAGTTGCGGAAGCATCACTGCAGCAGTTGTTTTTGACGATTTCTTATTAACTTTGGGTCGTCCCTTGGTTCCTTCTATCTTCTCGTGTTTTGAGGGACCAACACATGCAAATATCCGCGAGATGATTAAACAGATGTGATAGAAAATTGAACAGTTATTTGCCTATATTATTGCCAAGCAATCCACCCACTTTGACGATTAGTGTGGGAGCAAAATGGAAATATTCTCGATTGTGGTCATTGTGGTTAAAAAGAAGAAGGAAATGGATCAATAATCTGTCAAGACTGTGATGATGGTGGGTCATGTCGTTTGTTGGTCGCTTCCCTCCCCTTTTCCGACCATATAATTTCTCTTTTTTTGTCCCAATCTCATTATTCATATTGATTGATAATTGTATTGCATTCATTAGATGGCCATCCAATGATTAAGACTCCCCAGAGATTCGCTCTTTTCATTTTTAATATGTACAAGTTATTGGTTCCAACCATTTCGCATTCAGTGGGTACGTTGACATAGCCTTTTAGCACAGTTGCAGTCCTTGCCGACCTGCGATTCTCATGGTCTACCTCTTCTACTGCAGTGAATTTTCGTTTGGGATGGTCCTTAATAATAATAGATTTTCTGATTTGATATCTAATTTTATAAATATGAATTTCAATAACTACACTTATATTGAGAAGTAACGTCTCTCCAATTACATTGATATGACATTATATAATGATAAAATATATTAAATTAATTAATTTTTAACGAAAAATAATTAATATCACACAGTAATATCACACGTCAAAACAACAGAGTAATTCACGCGTCAAAATATTATTCTTTCATCTAATACCAAAATTGAAATGTGAGACCAAGGTCCATAGATATTAGGACCCAAAATTTTTGGTATAATGATATTTTATTTACTTTTTAGTTTAAATATTAATTAAATAAGATATTTGTTCCTCTCAATTTTTAGATTTAAATACCTAATAGATACTTATTCTTTTGACGTAATTTTTTTACCCCTCAATATTTGATTCTGGTTATGTCCTTATATATGACATCACATATTAACACCATATAGTATTATTGTGTGATATCATATATCAATTTTTTATTTTAAATGAGAATAATTATATATATAAGCTTTTATTTTTTTTACGAAATCAAAAAATATTTATCATATGTCAATTATTTTAGGAATAAAAACTATACATGAACATTGATAAAAGTACAATGTTGTATATGAACTTTCGATTTGATTAAATCTTTGCACAAAATTAATATAGTTGTTGACGTAGCACCATTTGACTTTTACATATTATGTACATAAATAATTATATTTATATAAAAGTAAATAGATTTTTTAAAATGAGTATAGTTAAATCAACATCAAAATTTTATGTATATATTTAAACCACAATTAAAATTTTATGTATATAATTGCATTAAATGTAAGAATCAAATTACACGTTATATCAAAGTCTATGTATAAATTCAACATTTGTACCACATTTTTATTAAAAATATATAATTGTTTGTCTTAACGTTAAGACATATACAATTGTTGATGCAATGATCAGAATCTAGTGGATCGTGATGGTTCACTCCGATTGTATTGAACTGAGAGTCATTCATTCTACAAGGTGGTTTGAGGTTTGAAACTGTCATTGATTAGAAGGGGGAAAAAGTTGAAAGCCTCAAGGGATAGATTGATTTCTTTTGGTTTGGTTATGGATGCTGGTTGCGTTCTTTGCGGGAATGAGAAGATTGTGTGGCATCGGTTTCATATTCCGAGGCATTCAGTTATCTCTTGGATGACCATTCTAAAGAAGCTGCTTACAAGGGATAGGTTGATTTCTTTTAGTCTGGTTACTGATGCTGGTTGATTTCTTTTAGTCTGGTTATGGATGCTGGTTGCATTCTTTGTGGGAATGAGTTGGAGTCAAAGGATCAGATCTTTTTTGGTCAGTGTGGGAGGGTGTGCTGCAGGTTTGTCGCTTGCAGCGCGTGGTGCGAGATCGGAATTGGGAGTTTAGGTGGGCTGCAAGGTACCTCGAGGGAAAGTCGCTTCTTACAGCTGTTATGGAAATTGTTTGGAATTCTTTGATTTATTATGCGTAGAGGGAAAGGAAATTTCGTATATTTCAGAAGAGTGTATAGGCTGATACTATAGTTCGATTTATTGTGGATACTGTTAAGTGTAAATTGATAGGGCTGCCTATAAATAGGATGAAGCATACTAATAGTTTACTTTGTAATGCGTTGAATCTGGTATAGGGTTGGGTTTTTTTTTTGTTTTTGAAGGAGGGTTGGGGGTTTCTTTTGTTTGGCTGTAAGGGGTTGGTTTTGTGGTTTGTATTCGTTTTCAGGATAAATAAAAGCATTTATAAAAATAAATTGAATCCCCCTTCACATAAAGCCGTGATTTTTTTTTTACTTTTTCCAATTATGGTCCTGTCGATTTGCGGTTCTTTAGAGCTCCACGTGCATAATCTGGATGAGTTTACATGATTTATGGATAGCTGTCCACTAAGGTCTAACGGTAAAGCAATTGCTAAGCACATCCACACATGGATGTCAATTTGTTTTCCAGTAAAAAATGGCGAAGCTAATCAGAATATATCATGAAGTACCAATCAAATGTCCATGAGCTATATCATAAAAAATTTGATACATCTAGAACAGAGTAAAATGAAAATAGTCTCCAACCCGAACTAAACGATATCGATAATAAAATAATAATAAAGATTTTTTAAGATTTTAAATTCAAGCATCGAAAATACCAAATATGTAAATTCAATATCAAATAATAAATAATTATCTATAAACAAATATTGTATTATACTTATTTCATATTAATAAAAAAATACAACAAACAATACTTTCCCGTGGGTACCCAAACAATAATCGTTGGAATCAGTACAAAAGAAACTACATAAAAAATTTAATCAAAATCATCTTTAATTTGATTTTGAATAATCTAGAGGGATTATAATAGTAATATTTATTCAATTTTTTTTATTCACCATTGATAAAATACATATCATACCGAAAATTTAATCCTATATATTAAACGTAAACGAATGAAAAAGAAAGAAAATTTTCATCTTCTCTTCCAATTTCTCCGGAACGATTTTCATGTCATCGAAAAAAGAGCCGATGATCCTAATCTTCAGGCAAATGCCGTCCGACTTATTCTTCATTTTTATTTAATTGGTTTGGTTGATAGTTTCTCAGTGATGTTTGGTTTTAGGGAAATGATAAGAAAAACACTGGTTTAGATCAAAATGTTGATTAAAAATAATGAATGGGATGACGCGAGTGCTGACATAGGTAACTAGTTGGACTTGGACCATTTATTTGAACCCCGTTGGTCCCTTAAAGATGTACAGTTTTCTTGCCGGCCTTGAGACATCTGCCTAACAAAAAGTAATTTCTCAATCGACAACAGACACTCTAACCTGAACTCAGATGAACTTTCGCTGCTACTCTCACCGTTTTATCAAACCATTTTCAAATCTGACCCCGGCAACAAATCACCCTTCTTCTTCTAATTGGAGAACTCAAATCAAACAAGCTCAGCTGGTTTCGCAAGTCTCGTCCATTCTCTTACAAAGACGTAACTGGGCACCACTTCTTCAAACTCTTAATCTCTCCTCCGAACTAACCCCGGCTCTCTTCCTCCAAATCCTCTGCAAAACCCAACATCACCCTCAAATCTCTCTAGCTTTCTTCAACTGGGTCAAAACCCATTTGGGTTTTAAGCCAGACCTCAGCTCCCAATGCCGTATCATCCGAATTTCACTCGGCTCGGAGTTTTCCCCACCCGTGGACCAAATTTTAGACCCTCTGATTCAGTCGCACCCTGCACCGGTAGTTGCAGATTCTATGATTCAGGCTTGTAAAGGTAAAAATTTTGATCCTAGTGCTTTAAGTTCGTTGATCAAATGTTATTCGAAAAAGGGTCTTTTTATGGAAGTACTAGTGGTGTTTAGAAAAACGACTAGCTGCGGATTTGCTCCTTCAATATGTGCTTATAATGAGCTGCTTGATGCTTTACAGAGAGGAAATGAGGTGAAACTAGCTTGGTGTTTTTTAGGTGCCATGATTCGAGGTGCTGACCCTGATTCATCTTCGTGGTCATTGGTTGCTCAGATTCTTTGTAAAAGTGGGAAATTTGATAAAGTTGTTAGATTGATAGATAAGGGCATTTATAATTCTGAAATTTATGATCTTGTAGTTGATTTTTATAGCAAAACTGGGGATTTTGAAGCTGCATTTCATCAATTAAATGAGATGAAGGATAGAAAACTTGAGACTAGTTTTTGTACCTATAGCTCAGTACTTGATGGGGCTTGTAAATATGATAATAGAGATGTGATTGAGAGGATAATGAGTATGATGATAGAGAAGCAACTGCTTCCGAGACGCCAAGTTTCAGGAAATGATTCGATCATCCAAAAGCTTTGTGATTTGAAAAGGACCCATGCAGCTGAAATGATGTTTAAGAAGGCTTGTGGTAATAACATTAGATTACAGGATGATACTTATGGATCTTTATTAAAGGCAATGTCCCAGGTTGGGAGAATAGATGAAGCGACAAACATGTATCGAATGATGCTGAAAAGGGGAATTAAGGTAAAAGAAAGTTGCTATAGTGCATTTTTAAATATTCTTTTCCAGGAAGATCGGTTCGATGATGGATATGGATTGTTGGTGAATATCATGAAGCAAGGACATAATCCTTGTCCATCTCAATTGTCCAAATATATAACATCACAGTGTAGAAGAAACAATTGGAGAAAGGCTGAAGAACTGTTGGATGTGATGCTAGAGAAAGGGTTATTGCCTGATTCAGTTCCTTGTTGTTTGGTGATGGAGTATTATTGCTTTAACAGGGAGATGGATAAAGTTGTCGCATTGCATAATAAGATGGAGAAAGTGAAGGGAAGTTTAGATGTAACAACATACAACATGATTCTTAAAGGGCTATGGGGGGGAAGGAAAGCAGAAGAAGTGGCCCGGGTTTTTGATTATATGATAGGGTTGAACTTGATTGATAGTGCAAGTTTTATTATCATGATCCGTGAGCTCAGCCACTCTAAGGAACTGAGAAAAGCCATGAAAATTCATGATGAAATGTTGAAAATGGGGCTTAAACCTGACAAGCGTACGTATAAGCGGCTGATTTCTGGATTCAAGTAATCGATATAGCTAATGCATTTATCACATGGCAATTACACTTTGCATAACCGACTTTTTGGGTAATGCGGCAGTCTCTAGCTTGCGTCATTCGACATGGGAGTACGATAATTAAGATTTGGCTTAGATACTGTCACGGCATTGTTGTGCATTTCTCGCACAACTAGATTAATAGGATGTACAACGCTTACATTTTCATTTCCCCCTTTTACGACATGAGATTGAAAGCAGGTTGTGACATGACCGATGCATCTCAATCCATTTTGTTATTATCTGGATTATGGAAGAATGATATACGATGTGAAAATGCTGATTATTAAGGCTGCCTTTCGAAATTATGTTGCCACTATTTAGGGATTCAAAAAAAAATTATTCTGGTATAAATTGTCATATTCTAACACCATTTATTAATCAATGGCAAAGTAACTAAGGTGGGAGCAATTCAAAAGTCGGGTAATTAATTTTTAAAAAAAAATAGCAATCAAAATAGGTAAAATGGTTGAAATAATTTCTTTGAAAAAAATATTACCAAAATTATCCAGCTCGAGGATTATTTTCCAGAATAGCACCATAATCACAGTGCAAAGGAGAAAACTTGTTGTGTTCCATTCGCCTTCAAAAGACTCGAGGAGTGCAACGAGTATTCAGTTGAAGATTCCAAGATTGTCACGCGTCTTCAACCTTTCCATGTATTTCAACTTCTCATTGGTTTTCTCCTTTGCACCGTAGCAACCGTCCTTATCCAGAAAATAATGCTCAGTGGATAATTTTGGAAATTATTTTTCTCTAAGAACACTATGTTAGCCATTCTGCCATCAAAATAAGTGTAAGAAGAAAAATAAGTTTGGCCCATGGGGTTTTTGTTGCTGGAACTTGCTCCCGCTGTGACCATTGTATATTTTTCATACCAAAAAGCAGAAAAGTAGTAACAACGGTATAGCCGTCCCATTTGCTTAAGATTGTAGTATCACTCCTACAATAGGGATCTAAATCTCACGGCATTACTTGATTATGGAGATTTGTTCCACTAGCTAAGTTTAGACTTAGGGGTTGTTTGTTTACCTGAATCATTTAACGCTGAATGTTGAACCGTTCAACATTCAACGCGTTTGTTTCGTACCTCTGAATAATTCAATGTTGATTGATTCAGTAAAACAGTGCTGAATGACTCAGTACAAAAGTACATTCTGAATGATTCAGAGCCAGTAAACAAACAACATGTCATATTCAGATCTAATTCATCTAGAGTCTCTGAATCATTCATCATTTAAATCATTCAGCACTTAATCATTCTGAAGTAAACAAACAAGCCCTTAGTATCTAATAAAACCTTCTCCAAGCATTAGGAAATTGGAATCCATCTAAAAGAGTATTCCTTGTCAAGGAAAAGAAAAGAGAGGATATATTCCCGACTTTCGGTCCACCTCCTTCATTTTCACTTTTAGGATGTGATTGCTGACGAGTCACTCGCGACCACATAGGGATTTTAAATAGCACAAAAAGGTAGGCGATGAGTCATTTGGACGGCTGCAAAAAGGCTCTGAAATCTGATCCCTACTATTTTCCTCCAATCCAATCCAACTTTGCGTACACCTGCAGGCAGCGGTGTCGATTCCTCGCCCTCCAATTACAATTGCACCCTTCATTTTTGCTATAAAAAATCCATGCCCTTTAAGCTAAAAGCAAATGAATCACTATGATCATCTGGATGGCAACCCAGGGAGACAATCCCTTTTTGGTTACTTAGCTTAGCCCACATGTTATTCTCTTCATGGCATATTCATTTATCCTTATATTCCCATGGCATCGTAACACTTGAGAAGGGGGGAAACCTTTCGAGAGATAATAACCAATGGAAGAACAAATTGATTTGGTCGGGAAGGCATTTATAGATCATTACTACCATCTTTTAGATAATGATCGGCCGGCTCTGTCTTCTCTCTACAGGCCTTCCTCCATGTTGACGTTTGAGGGCCAAAAGATACTTGGTGTTGAGGACATCACTGCTAAGCTTACCAGTTTGCCGTTTGATCAATGCCAACATGTGATCAGCACCATTGATTCACAACCTTCTACTTTCGCTGGTGGCATTGTCGTCTTTGTCAGCGGCAGCCTGCAGTTGCCCGGAGAGGAGCACCATTTACGGTTCAGCCAGGTTAGTCATTTCGTACTCAAGAGCTTGGTTCTCATTCTTAATTAATAAGCATTTCCATTTCTCATTTTTTTAGTCCAATTTTTAATGGTGTTGCAGATGTTTCATCTAGTTCCAGTACTTGAAGGAAATTTCTTCGTGCAGAATGACATGTTCCTCCTCAACTATGGATGAATGGTTTTTCCCCATGTGTGGTGCGATATACATTTACTTGAAGGAAACACATTCCTCTTTATCTTTCATCTTTTCTTCATTCTATTATTGGATGCTATCACTCTGTAATCACTGATCAAATTGTTCCTCGTGTCATTGCTTTATGATCTTTCTTGGTGGATCTTATACGATACTAAAAAGGCTTTTCAAAACTGGTTGGGCTATTTGGATTGTGTTCGTCTGTGTTAAGAGTAAAAAGCCCTAAAATTCTCTCTATTCTCACTTTCTCAGTTTACATGCGTGTAACCTAGCAAGAGCCCACCAAAAAGAAAAAATAATTGACTGTAGTTTTGTGTACCTTTCAAGTAAAGCGAGACTCGTGTCCTTTTTAAGTTGAACGATCATAAACTAGTGCAAGTTGACGTACAACACAGAGCATTTTTACCACTACAATTTAAAATAGTTGGCCTTACTATCCTGTTGTTTTTTCAATTAACCATGTCGGGTTACCTACTGACCAAATTTCTTTTTCAAAGGTTAACTAGACAAAGTTGTAGTTGTAGGGTAAATATGAAAAAATGTAACACGACACAAAAAATAAATACTAACAAAAAGAAAGAATGGAAGACAAATTGAATCTATGGCTATAATGCTGAAGATCAACGAAGCTACTATTGGGTTTGTTGTTTTAATGGTGAATTTCAGCAATTCCATGATGGCTCACGTTCTAAGTGGAAATAAAATCCCCCACTTGATTTCTACAGTGGCTGGCATTGTCATATGGTGATTCCTTGATTTCCCTGAGGCTCTAGAAATTCCATCATTCATGATTAAATTATAACAAATTTGTCAATAATTAAAGCTAGTGAGGAAAGAGGTTTGAACGTTTTAGCTTTATTCCAAGAAACAAAAGGTTCCGGCATGTTCCTGAGCTGAGCTGGCCTTTGATTGAATATTGCCTCCTAGCCATTGCGGGATTCAAAGAAAAAGGAAAAGCCAAAACATATTTACTAATGTGACAATGTCCCACTTTTCCAAAGTCGACAAAATCCACTGGAAAGATCAGATCATCTCAAATCCAGGGCTAATGATAACTTCCATCTTCGTTCAAGGCGTTGATTAAATAACCCTTCTTTCGATCTACGTGTCATAATTTCATAAATTATCCCTTAATTTGCTTATTAATGATTTGATTAAGGAAAATCCCATTATAGAGCCCCTTGCTTATTTAAGGATTATGAAGGACAAAAGAGCCTACGAGCGCAGTTAAGCAGATCAAGAGCTTCTTATAGTAGGATTCTCCCCCTAATTTTCACATTGGTACTTCTAATATGCTTAGCTGCTCTGGTTGCCATTCGTTTAGTTAGATTTAGCTCCTTTGTTACTAATTATCACCCACCATATGACTATTGCGAGAGAGTTGTTGACCAGAGATCATGTATATCATTGCTCTCCGAAGTAGCCTCAAGCAAAAGCATGAGAATGAAGGATGTCGATCTGCTACATGCCTTCTTAGAGCGATCGGCTGCTGATATGCAAAGTGCTATCAACCTCGCCCACAGCTTCAACGATGGGATCAGTAATCACGGAGAGCAAGCGAGTCTCGACGATTGCCTGGAGTTGATGGAGTTATCCAGAGATAGGATCATGGACTCTATCGTTGAAGTTGAAAGAAGAGACGTTAATTGGCATACAAATGGTCAGGCATGGCTAGGCATGGCTAGGTAGCGTGTTGACTAACCATGTCACATGCTTGGATGGGCTACAAGGGTCAGTGAAGAGCCTTATGGAACCAGTGCTCGATGACCTTATATCGAGAGCAAGAAATTCCCTAGCCATTCTGGTTTCATTTTCCCCTATGAACACAAAATTTAATGATGGCCCGTTGGTCGATTGATTTCCATCATGGGTTGGAAGCAACGATAGAAAGCTTTTACAGGCTTTGCCTAATGAAATCAAGGTCAATGTTGTGGTGGTCAAGGATGGAAGTGGCAACTACAAGACGTTAGGAGAAGCCGTGGCACCTGCACCAGATAAAAGCGAGACCAGGTACATAATTTATGTGAAAAGGGTACTTATAAAGAACACGTTGAGATTAGAAAACGCAAGAAGAATTTGATGATTGTTGGTGACGGGTTGAATTTGACTATAATCACCGGTAGCTTAAATGTCATCGATGGATCCACAACCTTTAATTCAGCCACCATTGGTAAAGATTTGTTCCTACTTGAATATACATTACAATTATTATCCTTCATTGATACCGAGCAGCTAAGGCAGTTTTTGCTTTCTACAATGCAGCGGCCGTTGGTGATGGATTTATGGCACAAGACATATGGCTCCAAAACACAGCTGGGCCACAAAAGCACCAAGCAGTGGCTTTCCGAGTCGAGACCGTTTGATCAATTATAAACCGTTGTAAGATCGATGCTTACCAAGACACACTTTATGCCCACTCGAACAGCCAAATCTACAGAGATTCCTACATCACTGGCACAGTGGACTTCATATTTGGTAACGCATCTATGGTGTTCCAGAACTACAAACTCCTGGTGCGAAAACCGATGAACTCTCAATCAAATATGATCATGTGATGAATTGAGATAGTTTAGGGAATTAGAGAAGAAGAAGGCGTAGAGAAAAGAGTAGAATAGAGATACAGAAATAAGATTTCATTCAAAAATATGCTTGATTGTTCTTTACACAATACTTGTTTTATTTGGTTACAGGGTACCCTCAATTCTAACTAAATGCCAGTTATAGATTCTAAAATAACCGTTTGTTGTTATCTCAGATATTGGGCCACCAACTGGGCTTGCTGCTTTACTCGTGGACTCAGCTCTCCTGATGGAATTATCTCCTCGTGCTCCTTACATGCTCATTAATCAGGTAACTCTTTCCCCCAATTCACTATATATCCCTAACCCTTGATTCTCATTTCCCCCAATTTCTTCACGTCCTTCGTTTCTTCTCTTTTCTCTCCTGATCGTGACAATACCCGCCGCTGGAGACGATCCTTGTCCCCAAGGATCAAATTCTGGAAACTGGCCTCGAAGGACAGTATAATCCTCCCAGGTATCGTGTGTCTCGTCCAGATTTGTCCATCGCACCAACAACTGAGTGACAAGTCTATTTTGGCGATTAATGATTCATCTTCCCAAAACTTTGTATGGTTCTATTCGAAACTGATCATCTATATCCATGGCAGGAGGATCCGTAGAGGAAACGACAGAGTCTCCAACATGTTTCTTCAAAAGACTGACATGAAAGACAGGATGCAATCTCGATGTCTCAGGTAAGCTCAAACGATAAGCAACTTCCCCGATTCTCTCTGTAATCTTGTATGGCCCATAGTATTTTGTTGCTAATTTTAAATTCTTTCTCAGTGCTAGTGTCGTCTGGCGATAAGGTTGCAGCTTTAGGTAAACAGAATCCCCAACTTCAAAAACTCTTTCAGATCTGTGCTTGTCTGCTTTTTGTTTCATTCTGTTACTTGCAATCTCCAATTGTTCTTTAACTAACATTAGGATATCTTCCCTGCTACGCATTAGTTCATTGAGTAACTGGACTGTAGTTTCAGTGTACCAAACCATAGTAGGTGGTTTGTACCCATAAAGTGCTTGAAAGGGTGTAATCTTTAGGGTAGAATGGTAGGTAGTATTATACCACCATTTTGCATGAGGCAACCATTTAGCCTAGTGCTTTGGTTGAAAAAAACATATGCTCCTTAGGTATTGCTCGAGGCATTGGTTAACACGTTCTATCTGACCATCAGTCTCTGGATGGTAAGCAGTACTAAATGGGGTTTTAGACCCCAATTATTTCATTGGTTCTCTCCAAAAGATACTATTGAATGTTTTGTGTCTGTCAAAAATGGCTAATTTAGGCTGCCTATGAAGCTTGTAGACATTATCCAAATATAGTTTAACCACATTAGATGCAGAATAAGGATGTGATAATGCTAAAAAATGACTATATTTGGTAAATTTATCAACTACCACCAGAATGCAATTTTTTTCTCAAGGATATAGGTAAACCCTCTATAAAGTCCATAGTGATTACCTCCCAAGCCTGCTGATGAATAGGTAGTGGCTGTAAAAGTCCTGGTTTAGGAATATTCTCTACTTTAGTCTGTTGACATATAGAACAAGACCTGATGTAAGTTGCCACCATAGATTTCAACTTGGGCCAGTAGAAACAAGCTCTAATCCTCTGATAAGTAGCCTGAATTCCAGAATGACCCCATGAGGTGAACCATGTAGGGTTTGAAGAATATGTAATCTTAGAGCTCCAGCAGCTCCAATATAAACTCTATCCTTAAATCGAACGATACCTCTAGAGTATTTCCATCTAGAATCCGCAGTAGGATTGACAGTTAAGATAGAAATCCATTCAGTAGCTACTGAATCCTCCTTATAGCTTTCCTCAACCTGCTGAACCCAACTAGGAATAACCAAGGTAGTACCCAGTGCAAAACAGTGAGCTTGATCTTCCCATTGTCTAGAGAGTGCATCAGCTACTATGTTGGACTTACCTTTTCTATATTGAATAGAATAATCCAAGCACAATAATTTTGTCAGCCCCCTCTTTTGAATAGCATTTGTTAACTTCTGTTCCAACAGATATTTAAGAGGTTCATGATCTGTTTTAATTATAAAAGGAGTGCTCTCTAGATAATGCCTCCATTTAGAAACTGCTAGTAAAATAGCCAAGTATTCTCTTTCATATATGGAGAGAGCAGCATGTCTAGGGCTAAGAGCCTTACTAAGGTAAGCAATAGGTCTGCCATCCTGAGTTAAAACTGCCCCAATACCCCCTGAACTGGCATCTATTTCCAAATAAAAATGCTTACCAAAATCTAGTAAAGCTAGAACTGGAGCAACACACATAGCTTGCTTCAAGTCTTCAAAAGCTTGTAAAGCTTCACTGTTCCATTTAAAACTATCCTTCTTAAGCATTTGTGTCAAGGGTTTACTGAGTGTTCCATAATTCCTTATAAATCGTCTGTAATATCCTGTCAATCCCAAAAATCCACACAAAGACTTTAAAGATTTAGGAATAAGCCAATTACTCATAGCCTCCACCTTAGTAGGATCAGTTGAAACTCCAACAGCTGATATAATATGACTCAAATACTCTACATGAGTCTGTCCAAAAAAACAATTGGACATCTTGGCAAATAACTGGTTAGTTTGCAATATCTCTAAAACCAGTTCCAAATGAGTAATATGATCCTTCATAGAGGTGATGTAGACTAGGATATCACCAAAAAATGCCAAGACAAATTTTCTAAGAAATGCATTAAACAAGTCATTCATTAGAGCTTGAAATGTAGCAGGGGCATTAGTAAGCCCAAAAGGCATTACCTTGAATTCATAATGACCCTGATGAGTTCGAAATGATGTCTTGTAAATATCCTCAGCCTTAATTCTGATTTGCCAATAACCAGACCTGAGATCAATTTTTGAAAAGTAAACTGCCCCATGTAATTCATCTAAGAGATCCTCCACCACAGGAATAGGGAACTTGTCCTTCACAATCATACTATTTAACTTTCTGTAATCAACACAGAATCTCCAAGTCTCATCATTCTTCTTTATAAGAAGACAAGGAGAAGCAAAATGACTTTGCTAGGTTGAATAATAGAAGAGGAGAGCATGGTAGCTATCTATTTTTCCACTTCTTCTTTCTGATTATGTGGAAATCTGTAAGGTCTTAAATTTATAGGAACAGTCTCAGGCTTTAGAGGAATTGCATGATCATGATTCCTTGTAGGTTCAGCAAAAACAGACTAAAATTTGTCTAATAGAGGCTGTAAAGCTGCAGGAACATCCTTAGAATCTTCAGTCATAGAGAACAATACCACATGGCCCAAAATAGCATAATCAGAGGCTGTCATTTTTAACAGGGTAGCCCCTAAAATTTATTATAAACAATTTGAGGGCTGCTGGCCATGTATAATAATATTTTCATCTTGGTGGACAAAACTGAGAGTCAATTTGTTGAATTCCATCAAAATTGGACTGAATAACTTCATCCAATCCACCCCCAACACCATATCACTGCCACCCAATTTTAGGAGTCTAAATTCATGAACAAAAGAATATCCTTGCATCTGCCATTCAACCTTATTACACCTTGCTGAACTATAAAGTTGCTGTCCACTAGCCACTGTAATAGCCAAAGAATAAGGTGTATTCACTAAAATACCAGCATCAGCCCACTGAGGTGTTAGGAAACTGTGGGTACTACCACTGTCAATCAAAATATTCAATGGTCTCCCTTGAATAGTACCCTAAATTCTTAATGTGTTATGACCAATACACCCAGTGATAACATTCATTGATATTTCTAGGCTCTCCTCCTCCTGTAGATTCTGCTGTTCCAAATCAGTAGGTAAAATTTCTGAGGGTATAGCATTGTCATCTTCAATCATCATATTCAACTGTTTAACTTTACACTGATGGCCTGGAACAAATTTTTCACCACATTTAAAACAAAAATTGTCCTGTCTTCTGTAGTCTATCAGGGTCTGTTTTTGTGGATTATTGGTTGTATTCTTCTGTGGTAATGGTAGCTGGTTAGGTTTAGAACCAGGTAGATGGTTGAAATAAACTGGATTTTTAGCAAAAGGTCTCAATCTTTTGCTTTCAAATTCAACAGATAACTCATATATTTTAGCTTGCTTGTTTGCCTCAGACAATGTTTTAGGGTCTAGAGCTTTGACTCTATATTTAATGTCTTCCCTTAATCCACTAATGAACAAAGAGACAAAAAATTCCTCACCTAAAGTAGGATTTTGTAAAATCATGTAAGGTTGTAGTTCTTCAAATCTGTCTAGATACTCCTCTACAGACCCTTTCTGGACCAATTTTGTAAACTCTTCCACTATATCAACAAAGGCTTTATCACAGAACCTACGAGATAAATCTGCCTCAAACTCATGCCATGTCACATGATGTTTTTGCATAATATAACCATTAAACCAAATCTCTGCTTTACCAGTTAAATACATTGTAGCTACTTCCACTCGTTGCTCATCAGCAATATTACATAAGGAAAAATATTTTAGACATTTTTGTAGCCAACCTCTTAGATTACTTCCCTAAAAAAAGGTAGCTCAATTTTAGGTCTAATTCCTGCCATACTAGACCCCCTTGTACCTATTTTATCCACCTCTAAAGTAATTAACTGATTTCTAGCAGCACTGTTCTCCCCCATTTGGTTATCATTTTTGAAGCTAGATAGATGAACAAGCAAATCATCTGGTTTAGACTTAAGAATACCGGGTTCATCCGGTTTATAAGTAAACCGAGTCTTGTCATTAATTACTGTCACCTTAACAGGTTGTTTGTTACTCATATTAGATGAATCAAGGGTCTGTACCTGATCCTCAGCAGATTGTTCTTGGTCCTCCTTCCTACCTGTCAGAATCTTCAAGATTTCCTCAACATATCCGTGATTCGTAGCCATCCTAGACTCCAGTACAAAATTCCTGTTGTCCTGAGTCTTCCACCATTTAGGAGGATTAGACTCGTCTTTTCCTTGTTTCACCAGTGCTGTCAATTCTTCCATCTGTTTCTGCAACCCAGCTAAGTCTTCTGCCATATTCTGATTTTTTCTTGGGTATGCCACCAACTTGCCAGAAACCGAGGCTCTCGATACCAATTTGTGATGAATTGAGATAGTTTAGGGAATTAGAGAAGAAGAAGGCGCAGAGAAAAGAGTAGAATAGAGATACAGAAATAAGATTTCATTCAAAATTATGCTTGATTGTTCTTTACACAGTACTTGTTTTATTTGTTTGCAGGGTACCCTCAATTCTAACTAAATGCCAGTTGTAGATTCTAAAATAACCGTTTGTTGTTATCTCAGATATTGGGCCACCAACTGGGCTTGCTGCTTTACTCGTGGACTCAGCTCTCCTGATGGAATTATCTCCTCGTGCTCCTCACATGCTCATTAATCATGTAACTCTTTCCCCCAATTCACTATCAATCCCTAACCCTTGATTCTCATTTCCCCCAATTTCTTCGCGTCCTTCGTTTTCTTCTCTCTTCTCTCCCGATCGTGACAGATCACTGGTCAAGGCAGAATAGCCCAAACCAAAACACTGGGACTTCGATCCAAAACTGTAATATAATAGCAAGTGCTGGTCTTGAGCCCGTTAAAGCCTCCATCAAGACATATTTAGTCCGGCCCTGGAAAGAGTATTCATGAACTGTCGTGATACAATCCTACATTGGTAACCATATTGACCCTTCGGGGTGGTCAGTTTGAAGTGGGGATTTAGCCTTGAAGACATTGTACTATGGGGAGTACATGAACAAGGGACCAAGGGCCGACACTAGCAACCGAGTGAAATGGCCAGGTTTTCATGTCATTACTAGTGCCGAAGAGGCCAAAAAATTCACTGTGGCTAAGCTTATTCAAGGAGGATCTTGGTTGAAATCTACAGGGGTGGCTTTTAAAGAATGGCTGTAAAAATTTACGGTGCCATTTTTTGTTTTGAATAAATGAAATTTATGCATCAGCTCTTTGACAGTAATAATTCTGGCAATGTATTAACACGTGTTTAAGGTTCAATGAAGGCCTGGTTCATTAATTAATCGATTGCTTTGAAGCAAGGGTAATAAGAAATTGCTGCTGTCTTACTCGTCCATTAAACTAATCTGGATGGTAACCTTTCACTTATAGTTTCGTTGAACTTCAGAGATTTGCTGAGTACTAGTCATCTGGGCAAAATTTCTGTACAAAAAATGCAGAAAACCATTTACCATGAAGAAAGGCCGTGTTTCATTCGAAGAGAACTGCTCCTAACGTGGCTGCAACAATCAATTAAATTTATAATGATATTGTGATTTCCAAAGACACGCTTAGAAAATTTAGCTGTATCAGATTCCAAGATGATGTTGGTCACAAGCAGTTTGAATATTATAATAGGCACCCCCAGAAAAAGAAAATTTGTTAGCAGATTGAGAGGAAGACATCGTTGAAAATCAGATTGAATGCCAGAAATATTTTTAAGATATGACTATCCATGTGGGCGTCACGAAATATCCATCAGAATTGCTTGGCAGTTATGAAAAGATACGTTTCTGTTTATGAACCAAATAAAATGAATGATTCTTCGGTGTTTGACATTTAATTTACACCCCCCCCCCCGGTGAACCAGCCTTGAAGAATTAGAATGGTTGTAATAAGGTAGAAAACCATGGGACAAGTTTAATTTTTTTAAGGGAAGATTAAAAAAATTATGTACAGTAAAAGCATATATCTTTGTCCTTCTCCGGCCTCTTCTAGTTTTTCCACCTCGACTTAAGAAAGAGTGCTGTATATTTCCTTTCACGGGGCAGCCTTAAAAACATACATATGAAGTACCTTAGTTCCACACTTTACTCACTCTCAACAACAAAGAAGCCAACACCACCCGACAACAAATATTGTCTCTAGTCTCAATCTTGTGCTTCTCAACCAAACTAACAAAGCCACCACCCAACATTTTTCTTATGTCCTGAGTCCCGAGTCCTGAGTCCTGACTCGATTCTTTGTTGTTTTCTCGCCCTTGGGCTTTGGGAGGTTCTTATTAGTTCCATTTCAGGGCTCTCCTCCACCATCTCTTCCATTCCCTTTAGAACCCTCTTATCTTCATTCTCTCTTCTCCATCTGCATTTTCTTTGCCTTTTCTCTTCCTTGTTTACTTCTTTTAAAAAGGGTTGCTGAATCTCTGTTGAGTTTTTCCTTTTTAAACTCTTATTTTCCATGTTTCTCCATTTGTGAAAAAGTGATAGCAAACAAGATGAAGCATCGAACCTTGCATCAATGCTTGGAGGAGATGACGGGAATTTTGTAGGTACAATAAAGTTTATTTTTTACACCTAAAAGATCTAGCTTTCATCTATTTATCATCATAATTTGCTTTAGTTCCAAAGATAGATACCAACCTTGTTTCACGGGTAATATAGTTCCTCAATCACATGTAATTACTCCTCTGATACGCTGCAACTTTTTGCCATTTTGTATGTTTTTAGAGTTCTTGGTGATTATACATATAAAAAAAGGGGGGGAGGGGGAGGTTAAAGCGACAAACCTCTTCTTAAGTACAATTACTTTCCAGGGGCCAAAAGTACAATCTCTTCTCCTTTATCTAGAGGTTCCTTCAACATTCAATCATTCTTTGAACCGGCTGCCCGATTGGGCTCCTAGTCTACCATCATGGTTTCCAAGATGAAAGGGATATACAAAGGTTTCAAATTCATTTCTCAAATCTTTGGTGAGGCCATTCTCTGTCTCTTCCTTTATAACATCCCATAAATGTATGAATAACGTATGTATGTACGTATGTATGTATGTATTTGAGCATGTTTCCTGGGTTACTTTTGTGCTTGTTTTATGGATTTTGATTGCTGTGGAACTGAGGTGGGAAAGGGTATTATTGTTGTTGTAGTTGTGAAGGAGCGAGAGATGGAAATTGGGTATCCAACAGATGTCAAACATGTGGCTCACATTGGTTGGGATGGCTCTTCTGGCTCTGCACCCAGTTGGGTATGTTATTGTTATCTCCATTCAATATTTTGATTGAAGTCCCTTGTGTTCATCTCTTACTTGTTGAACTTATGCAGATGAATGAATTAAAGACAGACCCTGATTTCACAGCTACATCAATTGCTAACTCCAGAGATTCTAATCCTACATGGTCCTCTCAAGGCATGTTTTCTCTCAATTTACCTTTTCTTGATATGGTGAATATTCTGATGCATGATTTACATGAAATAAGATAGAATGAGCAATATAGAGAATAGTAGGCAAAAGCAGGATTTATTTATTTATTTACATATACTACAAAATCATGTATCCCTTAAGCAGTCTCAGTTAGCATATGGACAATTCTTAAATAAGAGTAAGACAAACGAAAATAGGGCCATTTCACGGGTCTCATTGACAAGGGGAAATGCATTATATATCTCAGTTTTATTTAAGCCAAGTTTCCAAGACACGGAGAAAGCCTTTTAGTTTATTTGCCCCTTTGGCTCTTCTGTCACGGGACAAAAACTGCCATATCAAGGGAAACTTATATGCTACTAAAAAATCATTCTGGTGGTCCCTTGCAATAATTTTAATGGCCTCGATTCTGTAGAGATATGTCTTCTGATGAGGTCTTTCATTGTTCAATTACAGATTTAGAGCAATCAATGGGATGCCAACCTGCAACAGAGATGATGAGGAACCTGTCTGGCAAGGATATCCCAAATATTCCTAGGAAACATAAGAGAAAAAAGAAGACAACTTGCTCTCCCAAGTGATACATTTATGTAATAAGATTGTGGTTTTTGATTTCCACTCATCGGTGATCAATGTAGAAGTCCCGTTTAGTATTCAAGATATTCATGAAGATTAGAAAGAAGTGCCAGAATTTGAACCAAAAGCTAGTGTAAATTTGAAAATCCTATTTAATTTACAAAAGGTTAAATTAAATTAGGTGTTGAACGAAAAGGAACGAAAGACCTGACTTACCTAATGGCAGAAGAAAGTTTCTGGTTTACTGCGAGTAATGGTGCTGCTAAATTTAGTTGTATTGAGTTGTCAGTGGAAAGTTTTGGTAATTCAGATTATTGGCTCCGACAAGTTTGTAAAGGAATCTAACTTCTTCATGTTATGGATGAAATGACTATTTATTTTATGTGCCGACTTCCTAGTTTATTTCACATGCATGTATTTTAATACAGGTTTTCTTGTGTGTGGAAGTAATTACCTTCGGGCAGGAGCATTTTCTTCTTGGCCTGGGAAGATGATGCAGTGAAATTCTGATACCAACTGCATCTTGTGAGCATTGATCATAAACGATCCAGGGATTGTATTCTATTTTGACAAGATGCTCCCGGAACCCTCTTAAGGGTTGGGAGACAAAATCCTGGAACTAAAATCGCGGCACTCCGTAAAGACAATACTTTATTGGTTGTTGGGAATTCTTACCGAAGACTGGGAGAATAACATTCTTATAAACTTTATTAATGCACTTTCTCAAGAACAATAATTAAGCTAAAGGGTGTAGAATAATCACACACTTTAGCAAATGCAGTAATTAAACGCTATAACACCCCCTAAAGAGAGATCCAGTCCATATCTTGGAACGGAGTTAAAATAAATGCTAAAGGAAATGGTGATGAGGTATGGCCCACAGATGGTTTTTCTGATGGAAACGAAGAATAAAGAGTGTTTTTGGGGAAGGACAGAGATTAGGATGAGACGATCTGGTTGTTGCTATGTAGAACCAGAAGACTTACGTGGTGGACTAGCTCTTTGGTGTAGTAAACTTCAAGTGGCGGAGAGGTATAAGAATATTATTGGTATAATGATGGAGGGTGATAATTTGTTCTATGTTTTTAGGGTGTTCTAGGTATATGAGCCACCTGACTAATACCCCAACAGTCTAGATTAAGGGCAGACTGTTGGAATGAGGAATTCAGGTTGATTCTTTTCGTTGATTGCGTAAGGCAGAGAAAGAGTCAACGGATCATTTACTTTTGGACTTGTTCTTATTCCAAGCAAATGTGGTGTCAAGTGTTTCAGGCCTGTGGTATTCTGGATGAATTAGTTGAATCGCAGAACCATTTGGATGGATGATAAAAAAATGAAATTGGGAAAAACTAGTTTCCGCTATTTGAGAATTGATTGGGGGTGTCCCTATATATTTGGTATCGCAGGAAAGAAACAAAAGGGTTCATGGAACTACTCTCCTTGACAGGTGCATGTAGTGTTTCAACGAGTAATATGTATAGTTTAGTATGGATTGGCAAATACATATGTTGATTTATCAACAAACAAACAAAAAAACAGAAACGTTGAAACATGGGTGAATATACTATGGAGATATTTATGAGTTTCATTTGTTTAGTACAATACCCTTTTCTTCCCAAACAAAAATGTAAAAAGAAAAAGCAAATTTATAAATTTCAACTACCACGGGCTCGTGGATGTTTAGGTGAGAGTCGAGAGGGGAAGAGACGAGATGAGAGCGGCCCATAAAAGAAAACAAAAGCATAAAAGGGGTTTCTTAATGCTGAAATTAGGTAAGGTAAAATATATAAATGGTTATTTGATTATAAAATATTATTTTATTCAGTTCATTGAATATCACAAATCATAAAATGATTATCTAGTTATAAAATGTTGTTTTGTTAAGTTACTTCACCGTTAAAAGTTATCAAATAGTCATCTAATTATTCAGTATATTCCAAACTCATCAATTTTCGTTAAAAAATTAGAAGTTATCTATGGTAGACGTTAATATAATGACTTAAATAAAATAACCATTTGAGATTATGATATCAGATTTTATCATATGATAATCAATATGTTAATGTTTAGCTCATAATATCGGTAATTTTTCTAACGAAAAAAGATGAGTTTGAAACACAATAAATAGTCGGATAACGAGTGGCCATTCTGTAACTTTTAATAGTCAGATTATTCAACCACGCAACACTCTATAATTGAAGTACCATTTTATAACGTTTAATATTAAATGAACATAATAATAAAACAGTACTTATAATTTAGAGATCATTTTTTATACTTTACCGAATTAGATAATAGCTCCGTCGTTTTGGACCGTGTGGTAAGAAATGTAAAAGAGAAAAAAGATTTTCTCCCTCTTCGTGTTTGTCGCATAAAGTTGTATTGTTTTCTTTGGCGTCCCCGGCTTTCCAAAAAGTTTCATCTCTTTTTGTCTTTTTGCTTTTCTTCCATTTCTGTTTGTCTGAGGGGATTTTGACTTTCCCGAGAAAGCTCGGGGAAATAAAGGAAAATGGTTAGAATGACGAAAATGACACTGATGCCTATGGAGCTTCCAGCTCTGCAGTCCGATTGGTGGGACGAGATCAATGAGTCCACTAAGTGGCAGGATGGCATCTTCTATACTCTCTGCGCCGCTTATGCCCTAGTTTCCTCTGTTGCTCTGGTTCTCTCTCTCTTCCTCCTTTTCTTTTTACAATTTTTATGACCTTTTATGTTGTTCACTGAACTGTTCGATTTTTTCTGCTTGAATCAGTGCTGAGTAGAAGATTTGTTATTTTAATTTTATGTTAACACTTTCCAATATTTTAGGATTCAAACTGATTAAGTTAGTTTACCTAGTGATTAGTAGTAGGCACTCTCTGTTTGCTCCTACAGTTCTTTATTAGTTTGTTTTACTTAAATGACTGGAGTAAATACTTATATACAATCAAAACTTTTAATTTGTATTCACCCCAGGATTTATTGTTAATGATTCCAGTTTCAAGAAATTTGTTCACAATGTTAGGATTCGGGATTAGTTTGTTTGTAATATTAGGTGTTTCTAATGTGCAGATACAATTGATAAGGATTGAACTGAGAGTGCCCGAATATGGTTGGACGATACAGAAAGTTTTCCATCTCATGAACTTCATTGTTAACGGAGGTGATATTTCAAAGTAGTCAAAACTTCTGTAGTGTTTTCTATTATATTATTGTTAGGATTTAGGGTTTTAGTTTGATTATTTGATTGGGAACTCTGCTATTTCTGCAGTGCGTGCAATTGTGTTTGGATTTCACAAACAAGTATTTGTATTGCATCCCAAGGTTAGTTTGCTGTAAGATTTAAGGTTAGTTTTATGGTACATATACTAAAGTTTTCCTTGTCTGAAACCAAGCTTACATTACGTTTGAAATGTGATATATAAGATTACATTTCATATTTGGATATGATAACAAATTCATTCCACACTTTATGTTCACAATCTAGGTCTTTGTTATTTGAGTTTCTCATAAAACTAAGGTTTATTGGGTTGCATAAAGGAAATAAAGGAGGATGCTATTTCCTTGTCTGAAACCAAGCTTACATTACGTTTGAAATGTGATATATAAGATTACATTTCATATTTGGATATGATAGCAAATTCATTCCACACTTTATGTTCACAATCTAGGTCTTTGTTATTTGAGTTTCTCATAAAACTAAGGTTTATTGGGTTGCATAAAGGAAATAAAGGAGGATGCTATTTTGAGAGAACGAGTAAGTAACTAACAAGTTGTTGTGATCCAGTTGAGACAAGGGTTTTATACTAATGTGAGCTGTAACTTCTTGAACTAGGTACTTACACTTATACTGTTGGATCTTCCTGGCCTTCTATTTTTCTCCACGTACACATTACTTGTCTTGTTTTGGGCAGAGATTTACCATCAGGCAAGAACACATTCTTAATTGTTTTTTATTTTGTGAAATGACGTGCCAAATTTAGTTTTTCCTTGATCAATAGAATGGGTTACAAACTCGTATACTTGGTTCTTTCTTGTACTTGTGAGGGGCTGTGACATTTTACCTCGCCATTATGAGCAGGCAAGAAGCTTACTAACGGATAAACTACGAATTTTTTATGTGTCAATCAATGCTGTTATTTACGTTATACAGGTGCGCTCCAACTTGCATTCTCTTGTGCTGTTTACTTTGCAAATTGCAATCATTAATATCAATCCTTTTCTCAAAGTTTCCTGCTACCATAGCTCTAACACATACTTGAATTTGCAAGTAAAGTTAAAAATGAAGTTTTGAGTTCAGGTCTGTCTCTGGGTATACCTCTGGATTGATGACAACAGTGTGGTGGAATTTATTGGAAAAATATTTATTGCAGGTAAGTGTTACGGTGAATCATCAAAACAAGTTCACAAGGTTTATCTCTGGGTATTGCTCATTTTTCTTAAAGGAAATCTTTTGCATTTTAAGTCTTTTTTTACTCTGCCACTTATTTCGCTATTCTTTTCTCCAGTGGTGTCATTTGTAGCTTCATTAGGATTCTTGTTATATGGAGGAAGGTAATTATGTTTTGTTAACACAATATTTATGGATAATTGGAGTTTGAATTTCTATTATGACCAAATCCTACTACCCAACTCCTTCCAGATTGTTTTTCATGCCAACACGATTCCCTATTGAATCAAAAGGAAGAAGGTAGAAGCTTCACGAGGTATTTTCGTTCCTATATTGTTTCTGTTAAGTAACAATTCATTTTTGGTAAAAGTCTGACATAAGTTAAGTTTAACCCACATTTCTTTGTTTTAGTCACTTGGTCTTTAAGATGGCATCATTTTTATAGGATATTCTCAACATTGCTATTGTTTATTTGATGTCTTTTCTGTTTGTAGGTTGGATCTGTTACAGCCATTTGTTTCACGTGCTTCCTTATTAGGTGCTTCGTGGTAAGTTTTTCTTTCTTGACCAAACTTGATGGTACGTTTTCAAACTACATTATTTATTGCTTGGCGGAGAATGTAGCTTTTTAAACCCTTACTTGTTTGATATGTCTCTTGCATGTAACTCATACAGAAGTCTCTTTTGTCAACGGATGACAGTCCATTTGATTTTATGTATTGGGGCAAACTAATAATATGAACTCTCAAGTATTCATGCATTTAGACATGCTACATCCTTCACCTGAGAGGGAACCTCTGATAGATTTAGTTTTTGGCCTTTTAAAAAAAAGTAAAAAACTTTAAACAATATTTTCCAAGGAAAAATTCCATACTTCACCATGAGTTTATTCCACTTATTTGTCTTTTGAGTTGAAAGGAAGCTTGAAGCTTTCCTGGAGCTTTTACTTTCTTGCTAATGACGAGTATACGAGACACATATAGATAGTTCCCATTTCACTAAATAATCCAGGCTGAATAGCTGAATCTCCTCCTAGCCTTTGACATAGATTTTCCTAGCAATAGAGAAATAGAAATTGATCAAGTTGAATGCTACGAGTAATTTGTGGTTCTCATAAAACAAGTTACATCAGATGCCGGTCTTTGACCAAGACTGTTTCAGCTTGACAACTGTTGAACGATAAAATTCTTTCCATCAACCTTTAGAAACATTAAGTTGCTGATTTCTTGATTTTGTTGCAAAACATTTTTCTTGTGCTTTATATGCTTTTGTTTAAATACTTTCTCTGCATGCAGGTGGTTTTATCTGCCTTCGATGAGGCCGTGTCACTTGATGTTTTGTACCATCCAGTTTTGAACTTGATCTATTACATGGTATATTTAACGAATCCATTTTACTTGTGTTGTACTATTTCTCTCACTTGTATTCCCCTTAACATGCATTTTTATTGGTAAAACTACAGGTGGTTGAGATCCTACCTTCAGCTCTAGTGCTGTACATCTTGCGTAAGTTGCCTCCGAAGAGGGTATCCGCTCAATATCACCCAATCCGTTAAGTGAAATGCTGTACACAGATGGTTCTGGAATGTTTCAGAGGGTCAGTTACTTTTTCCAGTTGAGTGATGGAAGCAGAACGAGAAGTAGAACTGGAATGGTTCATGATGCATGCAAAAAAAAAAGTTTGTATGTGACATGGCTGTTTGCAGCTTTCTTTTTGGGAGATCATTGTTGATTTCTTCATTCATTATGTATTGGAAGAGTTGGTTTATCTGACGCTTTGCGCGTTTAGTAGTTATTTCATCAGTTTGTTTACTAGAAAATGAACACGGTCAAGATTTGTCTTGGACATGCATGCCTTTGTTTAAGGGAGAGTTGAAAATCTAAATTTTCATTCTCTGTTACAATCTGTGAAACTACAGCTCTTTCTTTGTGGTATATGTGTGTTGGCATCCTATTTGATGACTTGAAGTCTCAAAAGAACTGAATAATTCTTGGTTTCTTCTGTTCAAATATGAGGTCTCTGTGTGTGTATATATATATTTATTATTATTTTCATACTCCTTTTAGTTTTACGACAAAAAATATTATATTCTAATGAATATTATATTTTATACATTAGACGTCTATTTATATTGAAGTCTAAAATTTATATAACATGATTTTTAATAATATTATTAATTTGTATATAATATTTTAAATATGGTTAAATTTATCTTTCTTAAGATAATTAAGCATCAAAATAAATATTAAAAGGCAGTAGTACATTTCTTTTTAATAGATTATACTAACTGAAATTTTGTCTAATTAGTTGACCAGTGATGTTTTTATAGGAGTCAATCTTTTTTACTTGGATATTATGAAGAGAAAATAACATCAGTGATTAAAAATGTCTTATAATATACGATTTTAATCAAATTTTTTTTGATTTGCCAAAATGACCAACTAAATCGCAATGCGATCGATAATTCACAACGCGATCTCCGGTATCGCAAATCAGTTTCCAGATTCGCAACGCGATTCTGACTAACGCATTGCGATTTTCCGACTATCGCATTGCGATTTTCCGACTATCGCAATGCGAATATGTAAATTACAATGCGAGTATGACTATCGCAACGCGATTCTGACTATCGCAACGCGATTCTGACTATCGCAACGCGATGCTGACTATCGCAATGCGATTTTCAAAGCGCCATTATTATCGCAACGCGTATTTTTTTTTAAATTCCAAACACGAATATTAATATATCGGAACACTGAACCGTCCACAGTATATCCCGTAATCGCAACTCATAACCTAAAACCCTAAATCACAACTCAGTCTCATCTTCATCTCTCACTCTCTAAGGCGACATCTGTCTCCATCTCCGACGAAATCCGTCTATCTCCATCTCTCAGAGCCACCCTCACAATCATTCACGGTCAGAAATGGAAAATCAACCAAATCAACCACCGAGGGTTAGTTTTTTTAATTATTTTTATTTTGAAATTTTTGCATTATTATTAAGTTTTTCATATTGAAATTAATAATAAGTTTACTGGTAATTTCAATAATAGATTAACCATTTCATTCAGATTGCTTATTAAATTTATTCGATTGCTGCCAATACTGCTAAATTGTTTAGTCATTAAACCCTGTGAATTTAGTATTTGTCTTTGTTTTGTCTTTTGGTTGAAGTAATGCAATCTATTCAAGTTTCAATTTTAGTATTTGAAACCGAGAATCGCAACGCGAAATGAAAATTGCAACGACAGAATCGCAATGCGATTTAGTTTCGCGTTGCGATTTTCATTTCGTGTTGCGATAGTCATTTTCGTGTTGCGGTTTTCATTTTCGTGTTGCGATTTTAAGTTTTAGAAACCATTCTTTTTCTGCAAATTGAAACTTGAATGAATTGCATTACTTCAACAAAAAAAAAGACAAATACTAAATTCACAGTGTTGCAAATTTAAGTTAGAAGAATAAACTACTACTCTTTATGTTTATTGTTCTTGGTATATCTTCGCAGTGTAGTTTTTGGTATATCTAACTTGGTATGTTTATTGTTTTTGTAGAACTTTTATTCGGCTCAATTGACCTTAAGAAATAAATTAAGCATGGCCAAAACAATTGCGTCGAAGCTTTCACCTGCACAAAGAAAAATATTTGAGGATACTTGCTTCAGGCCATGGCTGAAAGTACAACATCCGGGTGGAGATGCTATGTTGACCCATCTGTTTCTTCAAACCATGACTAGCGATCTACTAGAGACTATACAACATCGTGATGAAGAGATATGGTTTGATTTTCCACCGGCATATACGTGTTTTGGGCGGGAGGAGTTTTGCTTAATCACCGGTCTACGCTTCGGACACGATGATGTAGATCGGTACACTAGACATATTACCCGCCTATCATGGTTATCCCAGGTTTTTCCTGAGCTGTCAATGGAGAAGTCAAATTTACACGTGGAAGACTTGAAGAGATTATTGAATAAGAAATATGATTTTACTCGGATGGATGACGTCGATGTTGTCCGAGAATGCCTTCTAATACTTTTGCATGCCGGCTTTTTAGGCAGAGAGGCCAGACAACCTATTCCTAATGATCTAATTAAATTGGTAGAGGACCTAAATGCATGGAACATGTTTCCGTGGGATTCGTATCTATGGAAAGCTACATAGAATAAGTTGTCGTCTGCCTTTAATGATCGAAAAAGTTTGCGTGGCGATGGTTCCAAATACACTTTGTCAGGCTTTATTTGGGCTTTTAAGGTAAGAATTTTTATATAATGTTTCTAAAATTATAATTAATTATTATTTAACAATTACTAATGTTTGTTATTATATTGTTTGTAGATTTGGATATTTGAGGCCTTTCCCGCCATGCAGACATATGCATTAAAAACTTCTAATGATATTCCTAGGGCTATTTCCTGGAAGAGGAAACGGACCTTGCAGCAATGGGAAGATTTACTACCGTATACGACAATAAATAATGTAAGTTAACACAAATACTACTATATGTTTATGAACAAGTTATTACTAGTACACGTTTAACTTTGTTTGAGTTTTTATATTGTTAGGAGTCCAACACTCCATTACAGAGGATGACACCCATGGAAGCTGAGCTTGCCACTGATTGGTGGCAAGCTAGTAAGCGTTTTTTTGATGGCACGGATGATGAGCAGCCTCCACTTCGAGAGTCATCACCTCACCCAGAGCCATCACCTGATCGACCCGACTATACACCTCCACAACGAGAGCCATCACCTATTTTGTCACATCATCGAGCCTCTTCTCCACCATCACCTCATGATAGGCGACCGACAAAGATGACACGACGTTTATCTCCCTGTTATCCACCTCCACGGGATGAGTTAGGGGAGTTACGTGATGAGGTCAATGCATTGCGTGAGGAGGTCGGTACTTTACGCGATGACAATGGTGCATGGTGTGTTGAGGTATCTACTTTACGTGGTGAGGTAGCCGCTCTACGTGAGATGGTAGTATCGTTACAGAATGAGGTTTATACTCTACGCAACGAGATAAGTTTAATATTTTTCATATTTAACTTGATGATAAATTTACTCGTAATTTCACTTAGATTAATCATTTCACTTAGATTGCTTAGTAAATTCATTCGGTTGCTGCCAATACTGCTAAACTGTTTATTCTTTAACCCTGTGAAGTTAGTATTTGTTTTTGGTTGTCTTTTGGTTGAAGTAATGCAATCCATTCAAGTTTCAATTTGCAGAAGAAGAATAGTTTACTTTCGCAACGCGAAAATGACTATCGCAACACGAAAATAACTATCGCAACGTGAATTTGACTATTGCAACGAAAGAATCGCAATGCGATTTTCATTTCACATTGCGATTCTCTCGTTGCGATAGTCATTTTCGCGTTGCGATAGTCATTCATGTTGCGATTTTAAGTTTCAGATTCTATTCTTCTTCTGTAAATTGAAACTTGAATGAATTGCATTACTTCAACCAAAAGACAAAGACAAATACTAACTTCACAGTGTTGAAAATTTAAGTTTCAAAAATAAACTACTACTCTTTATGTTGTCATTGAACCTGCACTAAACCTATATGTTGTACTTTTAAATGTTTATATAAGTGATTACTTCTGGAATGTTATCTGATGCATTTTGTGAACAATGATAGAATAATGACTTGGGTGAATACCGTGCAAGTTTGAAATATATTTGTCTTTGTTTTCACTATTTAATATCATGTCTGTTTATTTACTAATTTATGTATTAATTTATTTTTAGCGGCCCGCTAAGGAGGATGCTCTACGTCGGGTTTTTCTTGCAAGACAGAGTTCACGCATTAGACGGTGTGCACGTGCCATTAAGTCTCCGTTCACCCCAATAGTGCGAAGAATCCATAAGAAAAAGCCCGACTCACCTGTCATCATTCAAGAGGCCTCCCCTATCGTTCAAGAGGCCCCTATCATCCCTCAAGAGTCCCCTCCCACCGTTCAAGAGGCCACTGTCATCGTTGAAGAGGTCCCTCCCAACATTCTAGAGCCCGATTCACACGTCATAATATATCAAATTATTGAGAAACCCCCTCACATGCCGGACATGATGGATGACTGTTGGCTTTCGTATAAGTTACCGGCCAGTACCATTGCGGCAGATGAAGTGGAGAGGAAACAACTACCGGAAACAATTCTGGATAATACCCTTTGGGCTAAGACCGCAATTGATTTTTATCTACATGAGCGGAGCCAAGGGTGTTACGCTGACATATACAAACTCAACGATGATATGCATTTGTTGATTGAACGGTCTTGGTGGGGTGTGTTATTAGGGGTTGAAGACAATGGCTATTTCGATGGGGGGGTAAGTCTTATATTTCTTCTTATATTTCATTTTGATTAATTTTTTTTAAAATTTATGTAATTCACTAATATGTCTTTTTTTTGTAAAATAGCATATTGATGCATGGGTGTCACGTCTTCTAATAGTAAGGGCTTTGAAGAAAAATAAAAATAAAAAAATACGCGATATACAATTATTCCGACGTCTTTTCACGTAGTTCACTTGAAGAATCAACGACAGGAATCATATGTGTTGGCTAATGGACAAGCTAAACTTTATCATGCATGGTGGGAGGTCGATAAGGTTAGTATTTATTTTTTTTAAATATTTTAAAGGTGTTCATAAATAAGTTTGCAATTTGAATTATTACTTATGATTGCAGGTGTTTATCCCTG